AATGTGGTAGAAATTGTTGTTTGAATCGTATATATCATAAATATGAGAAAGGAAAATTTAGTAATGAAAAATGTAGCTTTATCGCAAGTATGAAAAAGGGAATATATTTAAATGTATCAAACATAGCTGTGACAAAATTTAAGATATATTTAAACCCAATGTTTTTGGCCTTTAATAAATTTTTCCAGAATTCAATTCTACAAATTAATAAATACAAAAGTTATTATACAGTTTCAAGTCGAAGCAATTTTCGTATCATAATTCCGATTTCTCAAATCTCTTCAACACTAAGTTTATTTCCGTCGCTACTATCAAAACATAAAAATCTCAATCGCTTATATTATTAATCTTGCGCATTCTTATATTTTTTGCTTATAAATCAGTTTAAATATTTTTTAAACTTGCAAATCGCTTATCATTAATAGAATATAAAGCTCCCTAATTGTAAAATTATAAGACAAGATATAAATACGCGTTAGAGCAAAATAGTTTTTTTTTTAAAAAAAAAACACTTTAAAAATGCCATTTGCAAATATTCGCATTTCCAAAGGGTTACAAAACATTCATGGATGGTATATTCATAATATTTTCTCTGAAATGATGATCAAAGATTTCTTCGTGAAACTTACAACTGGTGAAATATCTCCAGAGTGTAATATCGATCGGATAAGTCCTGAAGCAATAGATCATATTGAGATAAGCAATGCACCAACTACAGGCGCAACCCAAATTAGCCTTGACTGCAACATCATAGATGTTACATCGAGCCTAGGAATATATATACATTATTGGCTTAAAACGGATGATATTACAAATTCTAATTTAACATCACAACATAATAATGTCTTTTCAATCTTAATGCAAAATGCATATTGGACCCAAAAATATTTACCAACATTTCAGCAGTCAGAAAATACGAATCGTAGACACAAATTGCATAATGAGATTGTTGATTGGATTCAGCGTCATGGTGGAGGATGGCCAACCTAGTCATATACTAATACCCAGAGAAAACAATTTGTTGTTAACTTAAGTGAGACGATTTGGTATATTGATATGCGTGGTCACCAGAAATTCGAAGAGCATAGTTATCATATACCTGAGCTTTTTTTTGAGTTTTTTAATCGTGCAAATCCAGAATCATATAAGCAATCATGAAAACCTTTTGATGAGAACGAACTAAATTTACATTGTCAAGCACTTGCCCCATATGCTACTTCATCATAGATGCTAAAGGAGAATTTTAATTGGCTCTGTGATGAATTCGATAATTTTGTTGTTGCTATTTCAAATTATGTTAATTATTTGCTACAACATCATAATGCTACGGCTATGAATCATGCATCAGAAACTCCTATACGAACCGTTAGTCAATCTACAACAATCCAGATCCATAAATGAAACATTTGGATTACACCAGTCGACAAAAACAAATATTATCGCCTTGAACAAGTGCTCATTAATTTACCAGTATGGAAACCAGTAGATATTGAGGAGTTCTTACCAACTGACTCTGTGTGAGTAAATAATAATAAAATAAATTAGTAAAGATATAAATTTATGTAATAGAATTTTTTGAACTTTAAATAAAGATTATTTAGTACTCATTCAGTTATCTTTGCTTAAAGTTCTAGAAAAATATTTTTCTAAAAATATTCAGTACTTTTATATTTATTCATATATTCATAAAAGTTAACTTAGAAAACTAATAAAATTTTGTATTATAGGCAAAGAATGCATTACATTCAGGGCTTGTCTCACGTGTTTGTCTTTAAAATTAGAGTGTATAGATTTAATTCAGGAAATAATGCTTTTAATGCAATATCATTATGGAAGATAGATGAAGAAGCTACTGAAGACCAAACTTTAAAAGAAAATAATCGGATCATAAATGAGTTACAAGAAGATGCACCCCATTATCATACACAGGCAATGTGTATAAATTATCTACGTACCTGTGACTTACTTCTTCCAAAAGCTAAGCCATCATCACTTCAGACAATTTATCAAATGCTAACGGGTGATATATCTGCAGCTGTAAATGCAGATCAAGCAAAGGTTGATGAACGTGTTAGAATTGCCTTGGATCTTGGTGATCCAGAAATTGCAGTTAATTTACGTGAACATAATAGCAGAAGGCCTAGTAAATATGATGAATTTTGGAAAGTTGCAGCACAATTTCTTGAAGGAAAAGCTGCTGATATAGTAATAGCAGTAGTGAACACAGGTATGATACAATCGTGTACCTTGCAACCGCAATATCTGTAAATGATCTTCTGCATCAAATTGAATATAAATGCCTATCTAGAACACTAATCCCTAGTGCACAATGGTTACGGCTACAATTTTGGCCAAAAAATCCAACATGGCTTAGTAGTTTACAATTCACCAGCCATTTATCTTTAAAATTTATGGTGCAAACAAGGCAATTACGTGCTTATCATCTGGATGCATACTATACATCGGCATTATTTCGTTACGAGAAAGAGTTTGCATGAAATTTTGTAAAATTACAAATTTTATCTTCTTAGATAATAAACATCGCTGTAAAGTTGGAGAGCCTGAGTTTCCTGTTGCTGCAGTTGAGAGAGAAAAGAAAGTTGTAGTCTCTAGAAATACAACATTTGAAGTAGCTGATCATGATTATACTAAAACAGGAATTATACCAAGTGTAGTGATGATATATAATATACCTGAATCAATAAATGGTGATTTTTACGCAGGAAAAGTACATATTAGATTAAAAGACCTGATTTTCCAACCTTCTTCGCCTCTTCGTCATGCTACAGAATTATCCAATATACTTCTTACGGAAGATTTATTTGATAATTCTATTCTGTGTCTCTATACAGATGGTGGTCCAGACCATCGTTGCACTTTTACCAGGGTCCAACTCTCCTATATTTGTCTTTTTCTTGCTTTGGACCTTGACTACTTTGTTGCTGTTCGAACTCCACCACAACATTTGTAGAAAAATCCAGTTGAACGTATCATGTTGATTCTGAACTTAGGGTTGCAGAGTGTTGGATTAATGCGAACTAAAATGGATAATGAATCAGAAAAATTAATTAGTAAAGCTGGTACAATGAATGAAATCCGCAAAATTGCTGAGGAAAATCCTGGTTTGAAGGATAATCTTATTGAAAGCCTTCAAGCACCGATTCGTTTAATTAGCAATGTGTTTAGCCGTCAGTCTCTAAAAGAAGAACCATTCCAAACATTCGATGCTGCATCAGAAATAGAAATGGAAAGATTCTGGAACACAATTTTACTTATTGATGATAGTGTTACTTCTGACGATCGTACTGTAGCAGATATAAAAAAAAGAGTAAGTAATATTTGTATAATCATAATAAATAATAACATTATAAAAAAAAATGATAATAACATTCTTTTATTTAAAGCCACATCTACAAGAATTTTTTGACTATTGTTGTACAGCAAGACATTATTTCTTTTTAATCAAGAAATATGGTGAATTATCTTGTGAAATTTGTCGTCCCCCTCGTTGTTTGCCAGAAGAATTTGAACAACTTCATTGTCTTCCAGATCCAATACCGAGAGATGATTTATATTACAAGTCATTTGAAGAATTGTATGGAATGCAAACAACAGAGAATCATAGACCTTCTTTTATAAATCCCAAGACAAAAACAGATCATGGTAAAACAAATACAAAACATACTATGCTATTTTGTCCCTCTGCAGCATGTGCAAAAAATGTTCGTGTTATTGTAAATTGCACTGAATGTGAAAAGCCACATCTTTTATTCAGTGCAAAAAAACTTTCTGAAAAGGATGTCACATTATTGTGAAAATTCCTAGATACAATCTTCTATACTTGCGGCATGTTATTTTATAGGACATGTGACTTGGCATTGACTGTACCACCGGAGCAGTTAGGCGTAAATGACGATTCAGAAAATGTTGGTTCCAATAATGAAGGTGAGAATCAAGAAAATGCAACCCAAGAAGACGAAAATGATGAATCTGAACCTAAGAGTCCAGACGATGATGATCTTGATATACCCATAGAAGAGCTTGATGATAACGCAGAGAGGGAATCTATTAGTGAGCTTTTTTCAAGGGTTTTTGTTAATAATTCATTGTGTTGTGCGTCAAAAATTGAAAAACCATACTACTCTGCTGAGATCTACCCAAATATTTGCTTTGAATGT